TGCTGAAACTCTGTCTGCTAGTCCTGCCTGCCCCTCAGGAGGATTCCTTCACCACATTCCAAGGTACTGAGTGCTATGGGTGCATGAGTTGAGAGACAGAGTCAGAGACAGACAAAGAGATGGGGGTTGGGGGAGGGGTTCTTGCTCTGTAATTCCGTGCAGCCTAAACTCACTGTGTAGTCCGGGCCAGCCTTAAACTCATGGCAGTTCTGCCTCAGTCTCCTGAGTGCTGGGATTACAGGTTTAAGAGAGCTCTGTTTTGAATACAGAAGCTCCTGACAGGCAGTGTCGAAAACATATTAGTGCTGAATATGTGTGTGCAGAGTCAGGCCACAGCCACATCTGCAGGAGAGAGCTGCTGCCCACACCATAGACGGGAGGGGGAGGGAAAAGGAAGGGAAATGGGGAAGGAAGTCAGAGAAGGGAAGGGCAGGAGGATTGCCACAAGTTCAAGGCCAACCAGAGCCACTTTTGGGACCCTGTCCCAAACAGAGAGGAAAAAAAGGCAAACTGAAAACCCAGGATGGAGCGGAGAGCAGGCCTATGGCCCCGCATGGTACCGAGTCCCTGCCTGGTGGATTCTGGGATCTGCGTGACAGTGATTGAACTCTGAAAAGCTCCTGTTCTCTCTAAGAATTCCTTCCTCACAGAACTCTGGTTCAAAGTCTTCTGACTTTTGTGCTTCATAGTTTTTGTGTCAAGTGTAAAATACATTGGTGACTTTTCCTCTGATGTTAAAAAAGAGAGGCAGGTGTGGGTTGCAGGCTCTGGAAGGAAGCAGCTGCGGGGCTCCCAGAGGGAGGAACGGCACCTCCTGCACTCTGCGTTGCCTCAGGAGGGTTATTTACGCCTGAGCAAGGCTCCGTGCCCCCCCCCGCCTTCCCTACCACCTCACTAGGTTCCTCAGACCCTTCTCTACCCCCTCTCTGAGGAAAAGACCCTCTAGCTCAGTCTCCCTGGCCCAGGACTTCCCAGGTGACCTCCTGCCTTCCTGCCCCAGGGTCTGAGAACAAGAGCCTTCTCTTTGGATGCAGCCCCAGCCTGCATCACAGTGGGCACCTCACGCCATTCTTCATTCCATTTCTGTGGAGAGGCCAGCCTGGTCTACATATCGAGTTCCAGGCCCGCTGGAGCTGGAACTACAGGGAGATCGTGTCTAAAGAGTCAGAGCCCCCAGGCATGGTTAGTGCCCTCACACAAGAGGCTGGAGGGCATCCTTCCCCTTCCACCATGTGAACACACAGCTTCATCCCTGGAACGGGCCCTCCCCAGCCCAGAACTGTGGCATCACCTTCTCGTGTCGCATCACCCGGGATAAGGTGTTTTGTTGTGCAGTCCAGGTGAGCTAAGGCAGAATTCATATCCAGAATACACTAAGAACTCTACAGCTCAGCAGTAAAGAAACAGTTCTGGGAAGGGATGGGCCAGCAATTTAAGTAGAAATTTCTCCAAAGAGGAGATGCAGGTGGCCAAAAAGTACTTTGAGATCCTCAGCATCTTCAGTTGCCAAGAAAATTCAGTGAAAAGCAGTACAACATGGCTCCACCTGACCCCTGAACCCCTCCCCACGGGGAACCGAGCCCTGTGCACTGTCTGTGGGGTGAAGTGGGGGTCTGCTTTGGAAAACCTTTTTTTTAATACTTTATTATTTTTTATTTTATATGTATTAATGTATCACCTGCATGTATGTGAGTGCACCCGTGTCGTGCAGTGCCACACAGGTCAGAAGAGGGCTTTGGACTCCCCTGGAACTGGAGTTAAGGACGGTTTGTAGCTGCCATGTGGGTGCTGGGAATCGAACCCGGGTCCTCTGCAAGAGCAGTCAGTGCTCTTAACTGCTGAGCCATCTCTCCAGCCCCTGGAAAACCTTTTGAAGAGTGCTAGTCCCTCAGTGATTAAGCATAACATTAGCACGTGACCCCATGGCACTTTGGTGCGTTCCAGTTTGGAGAGATCCTCAGGCCTGGCTCATAGTTAGCCGGTGCCTTACTCTTGGTGAAATGCCACGAACTAGGACTTTAAATTGTCTTGTCCAAGCAGTCTAGTCAAGGGAGCGAATGAGTGAGTGGCTGTTCCCTGTGGCCTTACAAACCAGCTGCCATCCTCAGCCTTTGCAAGGTTAATACTAAGAAAACTTTTTTTTTTTTTCGGTCTTTTTGAGAGGGTCCCAGCTGGCCTGGAACTCACTATGTAGACCAGGCTGGTCTTGAACTTGCAGAGATCCACCTGCCTCTGCCTCCCAAGTGCTGGATTAAAGGCTATCACGCCCGACCCCTAAATCCATCCTGGGCTTTTAAACCAAGACTTTGCTGATGTGGGTATGTAAAGTGTGTAAGATCATGTTCTGGCGGACGTGTCGGGTGACTGTTCCAGCCAAGTAGTGACTGTTTCCATCTCCTTCATGATGCCAGTGTGTGGCAAGAAAGAGCCTGGTGGAGTCTTGACATCTAGGCATCAAGCCAGGTATGGCATCTCAGGACACCCCCCCCCATTGACTTGTGCTGTCCACCTGTTCCTGGGAACCGGCGTTCTGTCTCTGTCTTTGACTTTTAGTTCCACGTATGAGACTGCAGTATTTTCCTCTGAGTGGTTTCATGGTTTCACACACTAGGTTTTCCCCAAGTTGACCTGTGCTGTTGAACATGGCAGGACTTTTCCTCCTTCAAGATTGTGTATGGTGGTTGGAAGCTGAGGTTTCTTGTGTTCATCCGGCGGAAGATACGTAGGTGGCTTCTAGAGTGTACTTCAAGACACAGGAAGCAGTGGTGAGATCCTGCGTGGACACAGCTCTGGCTTGCAGCTGGGGTTTCAGAGGCCGAGGGGCTGCTGGAAGGGCGGGGCCATAAGCACTGGCTCTTGGGAGCCTTTCTGTTCTGGGCTGGGGTGTGGCGTTATAGATGCTTCTCAGTGACTGTGACTGTTCTGTAGATCAGCCCTTTGAATGTTGTATGTGCTGTAAATGTCGTCTAGCCTTGGGTTCTAGTTTATTTTGTGTATTTTGGCTGTCATGTAAAAGTTGGTCATTTTCACATAGCAAAACCTGCCTTCATTACGCTACCTCCTTCTTTTAGAGCATGCAAAGCATGTTTTCCTAGAATTATTCTTGCAGAATTTTGGTTTTTGCACTTAGGCATTTAGACTGTGTCCTGGGTTTCTCAGCCTCAGCACAGTGGTATGATTGCTGCCGCAGTGGTGTGATTGCCGCAGTGGTGTGATTGCCACAGTGGTATGATTGCTGCCGCAGTGGTGTGATTGCTGCCACAGTGGTATGATTGCTGCCGCAGTGGTGTGATTGCCGCAGTGGTGTGATTGTTGCCGCAGTGGTGTGATTGCCGCAGTGGTCTGATTGTTGCAGTGGTGTGACTGCTGCTGCAGTGGTGTGATTGTTGCCGCAGTGGTGTGATTGCCGCAGTGGTGTGATTGCTGCCGCAGTGGTGTGATTGCCGCCGCAGTGGTGTGATTGCCGCAGTGGTGTGATTGCTGCCGCAGTGGTGTGATTGCTGCCGCAGTGGTGTGACTGCGGCCCTTCTTTTAGAGCATGCAAAGCATGTTTTCCTAGAATTATTCTTGCAGAATTTTGGTTTTTGCACTTAGGCATTTAGACTGTGTCCTGGGTTTCTCAGCCTCAGCACCGCAGTGGTGTGATTGCTGCAGTGGTGTGATTGCCGCAGTGGTGTGATTGTTGCTGCAGTGGTGTGATTGTTGCTGCAGTGGTGTGATTGTTGCAGTGGTGTGATTGTTGCAGTGGTGTGACTGCTGCCCCAGTGGTGTGATTGTTGCCGCAGTGGTGTGATTGCCGCAGTGGTGTGATTGTTGCAGTGGTGTGACTGCTGCTGCAGTGGTGTGATTGTTGCCGCAGTGGTGTGATTGCTGCAGTGGTGTGATTGCCGCAGTGGTGTGATTGCTGCAGTGGTGTGATTGCTGCAGTGGTGTGATTGTTGCAGTGGTGTGACTGCTGCCCCAGTGGTGTGATTGTTGCCGCAGTGGTGTGATTGCCGCAGTGGTGTGATTGTTGCAGTGGTGTGACTGCTGCTGCAGTGGTGTGATTGTTGCCGCAGTGGTGTGATTGCTGCAGTGGTGTGATTGCCGCAGTGGTGTTATTGCTGCCGCAGTGGTGTGATTGTTGCCGCAGTGGTGTGATTGCTGCTGCAGTGGTGAGAGCTGCCTTTACAGATGCTCAGTAGCTTCCCTGGCTTTTGCACAGAAGATACCGTAGCAGATGTGGCTGTCTCCAGAGTGCGCGGTCCCCTGGGGGGGCAGAACAGCCCTCCTTTGAGGGTCCCTGCACTGGGGTTACAGCTGAGGAGACGAAGGCCGAAAGGTAGTGACTCAGGGGCTCCCGTGAGATGGGAGCGAAAATCTCAGTTCCAGTGACAGAGGCTTGCTATGTCCCTCTTCCTGGCCTGGTCCTGCTGCCTCCGTGTGCCAGCGAGGACCACACAATGTAAAGCTAGTGCAGATCTGCCCAATGCAGACAGAGAAGCAGGGTGCTACATACCTCACACAGGAGGGTGTGGGAGACAGATTTCACGGTATGGCTGCAGGTGGACTTTGTGAGGGGGGGGCTTGCTAAGCCTGGACTTGTGTATACAGCAGGCACGTCTGAGCACGGACAGGTGAGTGGATGACTGTGCTGTGTCTTAGGTCACTGTCCTTGTAACATCTGTACTTGGACTTTCTAGAAAGACGCCAGCAACATGGCACAGCAGCATCAGGTGGTCATCTGTTCAGGGAAGCCCACTGGAGCCTCAGGGCCCAGGTTCTTTGCCCCTGTCCAGCACATACAGAGATTACAGATTCCCAGAAGGAAAGTGGGTGTTCAGCATGAATCAATGTACGTAAATCTGGGTACTGTGAGCCACCCTGTCAGTCATGTGTCAGACCCCTCCAGAATCAGTTTCCAGACAGGCCTGGGGCTGGACCTGGGAGCAGCTGAGCTGCCATGGGAGCCCATCAGCTTCTCTGGTACTGACCAACTCTACCCCACTTTTTGCCTCCAGTGTGGGGCTGCCTTCCTGGAGGATGACGTCATTGTGCTCAATGGCACCAAGGAGGATGTGGAGACGCTGAAGAAGAGGATGGAGGAGAGGCGACTGCGGGCCAAGCTGGAGAAGGTAATGAGGGGGCTTCATGTCTGCCCATTTCGAGCAACGGAGGTGCCTGATGGCTGCTTCTGGGAGGTGTACACGGCCGAGGCGTCTCGACCCAGGAGGCCCAGCCTGCAGTCAGGTTCTCTTCATGGCCTGGCTGCATCAGGCCTTGTCACTAGTGAAGGGGGTGACCAGCATCTGCGCAGGACTTGGGGGTGCTGGGAAGATGAAAAAGCTGGTACCCACTGAGCACATGTCCGGGTGGCGTTAGCGTGCTCTCAGGGAAAAGCAGCCACAATTGCTGTCTCGTGTGGCCTGTGGGTATCACTTTAGGGAGAAGTCCTGGGTTCCATCACCACTGCTAAAAAAGAAATGGAAAGACATGTGGTCCATTTCCACAACTTGACAAAGGCAAGAGCGGAAAGCTGCTGTCACCGCAGCACACCTGAGCTTGGCGCCTCAGTCACCTGCAGCCCGGCGGCCCTGGGCAGCTGCTGCCACTGCCTTTTCTATTGGCGTATAAAGTAACGGGCTTCACTGCATTTCATGCACTTGTCACTGACTTTGTTCTTATTCAGCTCCTCCCTGGGCACCTGCTTGTGTCCTCTCCTAGGCCAAGGGGTACAGCCCTTGAGGTCCATCTCGGGGTAGGGAGGAGCCTTGTGGGGGGCGGGGGAGGGGGTTGGCAGAGCCTTCTCACTTGTTTCCCGACTTTGGGACCGTACTCCAGAGGCAGTGGAAACATTGCCAAGTAACACCACGTAGGCAGACTCAGGAATTGTCAGTCTAGAAACCACTGTGTGCTCTGGATCCTGGGTCCAGCAGAATGTCTTATGATTTATTGTGAACAGATGTTAGCTGACCCTTTGTGAGTGGTTTGTTGTTTTTTGTTTTTTTTTAATTTAGTGTGTGTGTGCATGTGAGCATGCACATGTGTGTGTATGCATGCCACAGCTTGTGTTTGAGGTCAGAGGACAGTCTGTGCTAGTTTTCCCCCTTCTACCAAGTGAGTCCCAGGGATAAAACTCAGGTCACCAGCCTTGGTGGCAGATACCTTCCCTGTGAGCCATTTTGACAGCCCTGAGTCTTTGGGGTTTTTTTGTTTGTTTGTTTGTTTGTTTGTTTTGGTCTTTTTGAGATGGGGTCTCCCTGTAGCCCCAGCTGTCCTGGAACTCATTATGTAGACCAGGGTGGCCTTGAACTCACAGAGATCTGCCTGCCTCTGCCTCCCGAGCACTGGGATTAAAGGCGTGCACCACCACGCCCAGCTAGTCTTTGTTTTTTTAATAGAAAAGTTCAAGATAAACTTGAGGGAAAACTTTATGGACTCAGAATTAAGGTAAAACTCTAGATGTGGTACATTCCTGTAATCCAGTACTCATAAAATGGAGGCAGGAGGATGGACAATCCAAGAACAGTTTGGAGACTCAAGGCTGGGGTTGTGGCTCAGTGGTAGGGCACCTGCCTGACATGCACAACTGTGGGTTTGATCCCGGAACTCAGACAACCAAACAAAACCCTAAGGCAGAAGAATGCTGGAAGTGTTTTTAATATTTTTATTATTTTTTAGTTTTTGTGTATGAGTGTACGGCCTGCATGTAAGTGCACCTGTGTCCTGCAGTGCCCGTGGAGGTCAGAAGAGAGCATTGGATTCCCTGGAACCGAAGGTTGTTAGCTGCTGTGTGGGTGCTGGGATTCGAACCCAGGTCTTCTGCAAGAGCAGCTAGTGTTCTTAACCGCTGAGCCCCAGAATGCTGGAAGTTCTATGAAACCAGGAGCACCAAGGATATAAACCTGTGGGGAAAATAACTGACCCGAAGTTGGCCTGCGTCTGCCAGGCCTTCAGAGTGGGTGGAGACCTAACAATGGAATGGGTTTCAGGGCTTTGCTTTGTGGACTCTGTAGGCATAGAAGAAAGGACAGAAGCCCGTCACCCTGGAAGGATATACAGTTCATGGTTGTGAAGCTTTAAAAGCTGATGGTTTTGCTGGACGTGGTGGTGCACGCCTTTGATCCCAGCACTTGGGAAGCAGAGGCAGGCGGATCTCTGTGAGTTCAAGGTCACCCCTGGTCTACATAGTGAGTGCCAGGCCAGCTGGGGCTACAGGGAGACCCTGTCTCAAAAACACACACACAAAAAAACTGATGGTTAAGCATACAGGCAGCATTAGGGTTGTGCATGGACCAGGCTTGCAGAAGGAGCAAGATTCATTCCCATCTCCTTTTATCCTAGAGCATAATGCATGTCTTGTATGCAAATACACATAGCATAAGGAATTTTGGCCATCTTTGAGATCAGATGGCACAGAATGATCTGGGGAGCTGTTTACAAGAATGTAATACAGCATAACTAAGAATAGTCAGTTGTGTCTTGAGGTAAAAACCCAAACATGAGCCAGGTGTGGCGACACAGGCCTTTAGTCCCAGCACTAGGGAGGCAGAGGCAGGCGGATCTCTGTGAGTTCAAGCCCAGCCTGGTCTACATAGTGAGTTCCAGGGCAGCTGGTGCTACAGGGAGACCCTGTCTCAAAAAGACAAAGAAAAAAAAATCAAACGTCTGATGTGTTAATTTTAGGTTGGTTTTCTACTTTTCTGCATTACTCTGATTTTGCCCTAAGAACACAGAAAAGCCTGAGGTGTCTTTAACAAAGATGGCAGCCAAGGCTCTGCCTGCTCTTCATTGTTGTCCTTGGTCAGTGTTTTTAAAAACACAAAGGGGGCTGGAGAGATGGCTCAGCAGTTAAGAACACTGGTTGTTCTTGCAGGAGACTCAGGTTCAAATCCCAATGCCCACATGGCAGCTAGCAACTGTCCGTAACTCCAGTTCTAGGGGATACAACACCCTCTTCTGTCCTCCGCAGGCATTGCACGGCACGGATGCACTTACCTGCACACAGGCAACACACGGGCACACAGAAAACAAAAATTAAAAAACGGGAAATTTTCCTAAAGGAAGCTGCTAGAGATTTTCATAAAACTGTTTGGGACGAGTTTCCTTTGTCACAGGCTTCCTGCCAAGTTGCGCAAAGCCCAGTGGAACTTGGGTCCCCTCTGCAGGCTCCTCAGCAGAGCCTCTGTAGATACCCTTAGTTACTGCTACCAAGATACAAAATATTTCCCAGTCTCCTCACACTGTGGACACGCTTAGCCTCTGTGCCTCTTTTCAAACAACTCAGCCATAAATGGAGGGCTTAGAACTAAACAGTTGTCTCTGGTTTGGGGAGGGTTGCCTCTCTCCCTGTCCTCTCCCCTCTCCCCTCTCTAAACAGTTGTCTCTGGTTTGGGGAGGGTTGCCTCTCTCCCTGTCCTCTCCCCTCTCCCCGTGTGTGTGTGTGTGTGTGTGTGTGTGTGTGTGTGTGTACATACATGTAGAAGCCAGAAGACGACGTCAGGTGTGGATCACTGTCTTACTGCTCTGAGATAGGGCCTCTGAACTGGAAGCTCTGGTTTCAGCTAGGCTGACTGCAGTGCGGGGTTACAGACATGCACAAGTGCCCTAACCCCAGCCATCTCTTTAGTCCTGGTGTTTGGGTTTGTTTTTAATTTTTCGGAGGTGGGGTTGCTTGGTTTGGTTTGGTTTGGTTTGGTTTGGTATCAACCATTACAGATTTGCGTGCATGCACTGCATGTGTGAAATGAAAAGGTTCTTATGTTTTGTTCAATGTTAAAAACCACATTGCAGCCGGGTATGGTGGCGCATGCCTGTAGTCCCAGCACTTGGGAGGCAGAGGCAAGCGGATCTCTGTGAGTTCAAGGCCAGCCTGGTCTACATAGTGAGTTCCAGGACAGCTGGGGCTACAGGGAGACCCTGTCTCAAAAAGACCAAAAAAAAAAAAAACCAAAAAAAACCCACATTGCACATGTATGTTGCGCTGAAGGCCACTGCTTGACAAGGGGCTTTTGTTCAGTGTTTGCAAGAGATGAGGGCCTTCTGAAATAATTACTTACTTTTTTATTCTTAAACTCCTGATCCTCTTGCCTTTACCTCTCTAGTGTTGAGACAGCGGGTATGGGCACCATGCCCCAGTAGGTTCATCTTTAGCGCCCCCTTTTGAGTATTAGGAAATGACATTTAAAACATTTTTTTAATTTATTTTTATTTTATGTGTATGAGTGTATTGCCTGCATGTATGTGTGTGCACCCGTGTCATGCAATGCTGCGGAGGTCAGAAGAGGGCTTCAGATTCCCTTGGAACTGGAGTTAAGGATAGTTCATAGCTGCCATGTGGGTGTTGGGAATCGAACCCAGGTCCTCTGCAAGAGCAGTCAGTGCTCTTAACTGCTGAGCCATCTCTCCAGCTCCAGGAAATGACATTTTAAAGTCAACTGAATGAACATTGTCCTGCTGGTCCTCCCCACTGCCGAACTAATGTAGACGCAGCCATGTGATTTTAGAATGGCTAGCTTATTTTGTGATTTGGGCTGCCCAGTAACTATCATAGTAATCCAGTGTCTACACCTAACGAGAATAATCCAGAGTTTAGAACTAACATATTCGTTAGTATAAGCCTTCAACCATTATGGCTAAATGAATATTGAAGCAACTTGACAGCTTTGAAACAGAGTTCCCAGAGTGGATGAGACTCCGTCCGTGTCTGTGCTGGCCTTGAATGTGGATGCTACTCATGTGGCTACCTCAACGTTGACTTTGTGTGTTTGGGTTTTGGTTTTGTTAGCGGTATTGGGGATCAAACCCAGGGCTTATGATTGTTAGACTGGTGTTCTACCACTGAGCTACATCCCAGGCCTCTAACAGTGACTTTTGAGAATGAGTTTTTGAAGCTATAAAAACTGAAAAGAAAGTCAGTGTGGACAGCCTTCTGTGAGGCGTAGCCTCAGTCAGTGTGGACACGGGGTTAGGGTTGAGTCAAGTGGGCTTTTGGGTCATCTTCCGAGAATGCCTCCTTGTTCAAGATATATCTGCCCGTCAGAGGCCCCTGGGCGCTAGCTGCTCAGGTGGGCTTAATCTGAGCACACTTCTAACAGTTTTTCTTATCACAGAAAACAAAGAAGCCCAAGGCAGCAGAGTCTGTTTCGAAGCCAGGTGTCCTGGAAGGTAAGGAAGGTGCAAGAGGTTGGTGTGTTAGCAAAGGGAGCCTGCAGGCTGCCTCCTAAACGCACTTGGGCCTCACTCCCTTGGGCTTGGGGTTTGTTTAGTGGATTCTGTTTCTTTTATAGACTCCGCAGGACCATCAAACGTGAAGGCAGGCAAGCCCGAGGAGATGGGCCCTGATCCTAGAGAGAAGAAAGCCGCCTCAGCTCCCAGAGGTGCAGGTGGGTCTAACCTGGAGGACAGAGAACAGCTGAGGAAGTTGCAAAGAGGAAACTCCAGCTTGTCACAGTCATTCATAGGTGGCTCACTCTACCCTGTTAGGGCAGCTAAGAAGTGCTCTCACACCCCAACCTGGATCCCTTTCGGGATGGAAGGTTCTGCCATCTGCTTTCTTTTTTAAAAAAAGATTTTTTTATGTGTATGAGTGTTTTGCCTGCATGTATGTAAGTGCATCATGTGTGCAACGCCTGCAGAGGCCAGACATTGGTTCCCTAGAACTAAAATTATAGGTGGTTATTAGCTACCATCATACCGGTGCTGGGAACCAAACTGGGTCCTCCAAAAGAGCAGCCAGTGCTCTTACTGCTGAGCCATCTCTCCAGGCCCCAGCTACTTTCTTACTGCTGAGTGAGCACCACTGCACAGCATAGTGGCTACAAGAACCAGACTTAAGACACCTCAGGGACCACTGTGTGAGGGGCCTTGGCACTGCCTGGGATTCCTCTTCTCTGCTCAGAGTCCTCCTCTTTACCTGCCTCTTAAAACTCAATACTGACTGGCCTGGTGGCGCATGCCTTTGATCCCAGTATTTGTGAGGCAGAGGCAGGTGGATCTCTATGAGTTCAAGGCCAACCTGGTCGACATAGTGAATTCCAGGATAGCTGGGGCTACAGGGAGACCCTCAAAAAGAACCAAAATGGAACCAGGCATGTTGGCACATGTTTTTAATCCCAGCGCTCAAGAGCCAGAGGTAGATGAGATAAGAGACCAGCATAGTCTACACAGTAAGTTCCTGGCCAGCTGGGGCTACAGGGAGACCCTGTCTCAAAAAACAGTAACAAAGAGTTTGGTATTTTGGGTGATCCTTAGCTCCAACCTTACTGGCTTTGGCTTTTTGTTTTTCTAGCAGCCAGTGGGAACTCTTGTGGGAAAGCTGGAAAGCCTCCAAGTGGGGCACTGAAGAGGTCCATCGCAGACAGCGAAGAGTCGGAAACCTACAAGTCCATCTTCACAACTCACAGCTCTGCCAAACGCTCCAAGGAGGAGTGCGCCCATTGGGTCACCCACACGTCCTACTGCTTCTGAAGCAAGCCCTCGGTCCTGCGGGGCGCCTCCTCCCGTGGGGTCTTGTGCACCTTGTCCCCGTGTGGCTCCAAGCTATAAATTCTCCTCTGTGGTCTGTGGCCTGTGTGCTCACTTGTTAGGAAGTGTGTGGGCCCCGGGGAGGACATGCAGTGGCTTACAATCATCAGCCTCTCCTGTGCTTAGCCCTTGCCATGGCCAGAATGCCTGGTGGTCCCCTCGGTATCCTTCAGTGACGATGAAAAGACTCCAGGTTCCTCACGGTGTGCAGGCGACTGACGTGTGAAATTTACCGGGTCAAGTAGGCAGTGGCACTGAGCTTAGAAGGGCAGAGTTCCAGCAGCCTTTGGCCTTGCTGCCCGTGCTTGGTGCCCTCTTGCCTTCTGATCCAGAGACTGGAGATTAGTCAGGCACCTGAGCACCTGGTACCGGGTAAAGCATTTTAGGACTGCCTCTTCTCTCATCTCTTGGCTTTTCCTCTCTCTCTTCCTGTTTGGTGAGCAAATGGCAGTCACCAGCCTGACAGCGAAGGTCAGCCCTGGTGTGGCTGGAGCCTCTTCCATCCCTGCACATAAAGGTCAGAGCTGCCTCCGTGGTTGGTGGGATCTCCTGGGAGTGAGCACACCCAGGTCCTGCAGTGCATGACTACAGCTTCTTCACATAGAGAAAGGTGATGGGTCCCAGGAGAGGACAGCAGGAATGCACTTCATGGACCACTTCTGGGCTGGGGAGATGCTCAGCGGTTAAAGCACTTGCCACAAAACCCGAGGAGAACCTGCATAAAAGCTAGGTGAGCATGGTGGCCACCTGTGATTTCAGTCCTTGTATAGGACTCCCTAGGGCATGATGGCAAGCTCTGGGTTCAACAGGAGACCCTGCCTCAGTAAATAAAGTGCAACCAAGAAAGACACCCACTGTCAACCTCCAGTCTCTACACATGTAGGCCCACACACAGTAACATAACATGCTAAAGCATCCCCACTCCCAGACAGCATGGTGATAGCATTCAGAGGACTGAGGCAAGAGGATCAATGAGAAATGAAGGCTAGCCTGGGCTACATAGCAAGCCTGTCTCAGAGAAAATAAAAACATTCAAATTAAAAGTCTGCTGGTACTGGCTGCTGGTGCTCTGCTTTAAAGTGGTAAGCGGGCCTGGCCCCAGTGACGCTCCAGAACAAGGTCAAAGCAGCTGCAGAAGTATGTTTGTTTGTTTGTTCTGAGACTGGGTCTCAATAGAGCCCTGGCTGGTCTCAAATTCAAGATCTTCCTCCCTCAACATCCTAAGTGTTGAAATCACAGGCATATATGTGAGTTCTAAACTCAGAATTAAATTACCCAGGGCTGAGGATATGGCTCAGTTGGTAGAGTGCTTGCCCAGCATGCAGAAGGCCCTGAGTTCAGTCCCCAGCACCACATAAACTAGCTGTGATGGGCCCACTTGTAGCCCCAGCATTGGGGAGGTGGAGGCAGAGGATGAGAAGTATGATGGCATCCTTAGCTCCACAGCAAGTACAAGGCCAGCCTGGGCTACATAAGACAGCATCAAAAAGATTACAGGGGCTGGAGAGAGGGTACAGCCGTTATGAGCATTGACAGCTCTTGCAGAGGACTTGGGTTTGATTCTCAGCACCCACATGGCAGCTAACAGTGGTCCTTAACTGCAGTCCCAGGGGAACCTGACACCCTCTTCTGACCTCTGCAGGCATCGCACAGACAGGTACACTTACATACATGCAGGCAAAACATTCAATACATATAAAAATAATAATTTTTTTAAAAAAGATTACATTAATAAATTTGTTATGGACTTTTCCAGAAGAAACCTGAAATAGTTGCTTTATTTCCCTGAACTATTCTTGTGCAGATAAACTGCTTTTAGTTTTGTTTTTGTTTTTTTTCTCTTGTTTTCATGACAATTGCTTTTTTTATTTGGCCTAAATTATTTTTCTTTATTATTTTTATTTTATGTGTATGAGTGTATTGCCTGTATGTATATGAGTGCACCTGGGTCATGCAATGCCGCGGAGGTCAGAAGGCAGCGGCGGAGTCCCCTGGAACTGGTGTTAAGGACGGTTCATAGCCACCATGTGAGTGCTGGGAATCAAACCTGGGTCCTCTGCAAGAGCAGACGGTGCTCTTAATCGCTGAGCCGTCTCCCCAGCCCCTAAAATTATTTTTTAACACCATTCTTTTCTGTAACTTTACAAGGAGAATTGGACTAACCAGTCTTAGTCATATTTTACTAATTGCAGCCATTTTTTAATAGCCATTTTTAACACATCGATTTCTCAGCCTTGAAAATTTCAGTGTCTCCAAGCTTCTGGCCTCTGAAATTCTAGCAAATAGCCCAGGATGTTCGACTCCCTCCCTCCCTGCCTTGCCTGGGACAGGGTCAGCTAAAGCAGGACAAGGGTTTGTTTGGTGATCCTTTCCCCACTCTATGGTTAGTAAAGGCATGGCCTCTCAGAGGCCTGAGGTCCTGCAAGGTCAGCTATTCTCATGAGGGTGGAACAGTCAGTCAGCTGTCTGCTGATAGAACTGTTCAAGGGCTCACCCTGAGAGCCAGCACTTCATGAGATGGCCCCTGTGGCCCAGGGAAGTGGAGCAGTGGACATCCCCACCCACATTACAGACCAATGGGACCCCTGTGGCCCACAACAGTTAGTGGTCCAGCCTGATGGTGGCTTCCCCGCTACATCCTGGCCTGGAAGCCATCAGTCTTGGCCTCGGAAAGGAAAGCAAAGACACTTCTTCCACCTCCTCCCAACTCCCAGCTGCTGTACCAGCCAGAAGAGGGGGGGGGGGGGAGGGAAGAAAACAAGTCTCCAGACAGTCTATCGTGCCATTGCCAAGAAACAAGGAAGCTAAAAAGATTCCCTCGTTCCACCCACCCGCCACCTGTGTCACACCTAACCCTTCCCAGAGCTTTCTGACTTTCCCCTGGTTCTGTTCTGTGAAATGAGTCTGACTCTTGAACATACGGAAGGGAAAAGGATTCAGGAATTCCTACTCTCAAGTCCACGGGAATGTTTCCAAATAGCTGAACTCAAGTGTGCCAGGCTTAGCCAGCATGTATTGTATGGGGTCATTCGTGTCAGTCATGCCATGTGGTGTCAACCACCGTGACCACTATCAGAGCTGACTTGGGCAGGGTCTGTAGACCTGGGTACCCTCAGAGTATTTGGCAGTCATCAGCCTTCCCCATGGGACACCAGTGAAGATCCTGCCTGGGAGCCAGGTGTGGTGGCGCATGCCTTTAATCCTAGCAATTCAGAGGTAGAGGTAGGTGGATCTCTGTGAGACTGAGGCCAGCCTGATCTACATAGCAAGTTCCAGGCCAGCTGGGACTACAGGGAGGCCCTATCTCAACAAACAAAATCATCCTGCTCGGGCCCTGGTCCTGCCATGGATAAACTTCCAAACTGGTCTGGAGGGCACCCCAACCTATAAAGCCGTGGGCACCAGGGCCACCTGCTTCAGCCGTCAGGATGGACGTTTTCATGTCACACGCAACCTTGTTTTCTAGTCTACCCTCAGGGCCTATATCTCTCCAAATCTGCTCAGAAGTCTGGCAAGAGCCTTGCTGGAAGCTGAGGCTGTGCCCTGAGGATAGTACCCTTTGGGCTGACAGGTAAGACTATGGAACCCATGTCACCCAGTACAGATAAGACTATGGAACCCATGTCACCCAGTGCAACACAGTTGGCCCCCTGGATCCTATTCTGTCGGCTTTAGAAACTGCAGGGTCAGTCTGTCAAGGTCTCTTCTTGTGACCCAGTGGGGACAAATACAGGTCTCTTGCTGGACAGACCAGTGTGCCTTGTTTCACCTCACCTCTGCAAACTGCTGGCTTCAAATAATCTAGTCTGTGTGTCTGTACGTGTGTGCAGCTGCACACAGGTGCATATGGAGGCCAGAGATGAACTTTTGGGTGTTGTTCCTCAGGTTCCGTCCACCTTGCTTTCTTTTGTTTAGATTTTATGTGTGTGAGTATATTGCCTGCATGTATGTGACTGCACCCGAGTCATGCATTGCCGCAGAGGTCAGAAGAGGGCTTCGGATTCCCCTGGAACTGGAGTTAAGGACGGTTCGTAGCCACCATGTGGGTGCTGGGAATCAAACCTGGGTCATCTGCAAGAGCAGTCAGTGCTCTTAACTGCTGAGCCATCTCTCCAGCCCCTTCACCTTGCTTTTAAAGACAGGGTGTCTCACTGGCTGGCTGGCTGACTGCATCCCCAGCACTGACATAAGTGCACACCACCACCACACCCTGCTTTTTAATGCAGGTCACCTGTGTTAATCTCGAGTCCTCATGCTTGCACGCAAGAATTTACTACTGAGCCATCTCCCTAACCACCTAGACGATGTTCCCACAGTGCTTAAATCGGCACATCACTATTCAGGGAGACAACGCAGGTCAAAAGAAAGACATCCATGGCCCCTGCCCTAGGTACCCTCTACTGCTGTGATAAAAACACTACTGACCAAACCCAACTTGGGGAGGAAATGGTTTATTTGGCTTACAGTCCATCATCAAGGCAGGGAAGCTTCAGGGCAGGAACCTGGAGCACAGACCATGGAGGAACGCTGCTTACTGGCTTGCCCCCTGGCCTGGGCTCAGCCTACTTTCTTATACAATATAGGACCACCTGCCCAGAGGTGGCACCACCCACAGTGGGCTGGGCCCTCCCACATCACTCAACAATCAAGAAAATGCCTCACAGACATGGCCACAGGCTGGTCCAGTGGAGACAATTCCTCAATTGAGGTTCCCTCTAACCAGGTGTGTCAGGTTGATAACTAAAGCGTCCAGCACAGCCCCTAATTGGTAGCCTGTGGTTAGGACCCTTAATTCCCACTGGACCCAGTACCACTGGACACACTATCTGTTGCTCACCACAGTGTCTGGACCAAATAAATGAAACCAGAAACAGGTGGCCTCTCCCAAAAGAGTGCCAGGCTCAGAACATTCTGGTGTGGAGGTGACTTCCCATGGCTCTCCTCTCTTTTATTGTCTTCTGGAAGTTTCTCTTCCCTAGAAGTCCTACCAGGCTACTGCTGTGAGCCTGTCTCCTAGCCAAAGGCATCACAATGGCTGGGGCTGTCAGCTTACAGCCTTCTGTGACATCACCAGAGCTCAGCTCTAAGTCCCCAGTCACTCAGGCACCAGGGCAGACAGACCCACCATGAACAGCTTCCTGCATTACCTCAGCTCACCATGTGGATGCTGAGATGGTTCCCGTTCCTGCCTCTGTGCCTCTCCTACGCCTGCGCCTTTATGTTTTCTTCACTGAGGGAGAAACCCAAAGAAAGCCCAGGGAAGGTGCCCTGTGGAGGGCATTTTCGGATCAGACAGAATCTTCCAGACCATGCCCAAGTCTGGCTTGAGAGCAAATGGCTCTGGCTTTGTTTCGTCATTATGCTGTATGTGATAGTGAAGTTTCGAGGAGGAGGGAAAGAGAAGAGTAAGGTAAGGGATTCCTTGGCCACGACACAGTGGTGAAGCCTCAGAAACAGGAACGCATGCTCTGGTCTGTGGAGACAGAATGCTGAGTCTGAGTTGGACCAGAAAGTGCATATCCCATGCTCCTGGGAAAAACTGGCTGAATTTGCACAGAGGTTAGGACAGTTAGGGTGGCCTGGTTACTGGCTCCCAATTTTTCCCGTGAAGTAATGATTCTCTTTTCAAATTGAGAATAGATTGGAGGACTTAGTATATTTCATGTAGAGTCCCAGAGCCAGGCCCACAGCCTCCACTCTGATTTTTAGTTTTGTTGATTTTGACTTATTATACATTTCTGAACTCAAAGTGTTATTAATCCTCAAGTAAAGGAGGTATGAGACCTGTGCTGGGTTGGGGAAGTAAGCCAAGCATTGGTCCCTACAGTGATGCCAGAGCTCTTCCAGAGAGAAGAGGGGCAGAGGCTCTGTCTTAGACGCATCCAACACTTCAAGATACTGGGGCCTGGGGCTGGGGAGATGGCTCAGTTTGTGAAGTCCTTGCTGAAAAGACATGAGGACTTGAGCTCAGTCCACAGCCACCACCTGAAAGCCAGCCGTGGTATCACACACCTATAGCCCCAGCACTGGGGAGGCAAAGACAGAAGGATCCCTGGGCTCCAGATTCAGTAAGAGACCCTAGCTCAAAAACTTAAGGTGGCGAAGCAATTGAAAACACCCAGTGTCAGCCTCTGGCCTCCACACACATGGGCATCACATGTATGTGTACATCTCTATACACATGGACACATACATACACATGCATATACTAAGCACACACACAGCTGTCCACTCTGGCTAGAGCAGAGGCTGGCAAGTGGCCTGTAAGGGGCCAGATGGAAATCATTTTCAGCTTTATGTTTACGTGGCCTCAGAGGCAGCTCCTTCAGCTCTGTCATTTGAGCCTGACAGCAGCCATAGCTGATGTGCAGATGACAACATCGTGTTCCAATAAAACTTTATTTACAAAAACAAGTAGGGAGCCAGACTCAGCCACAGTTTGCCAACACTAGATTCAGACGCAGACTAGACAGAACAGGATTATTGTTACGTTCCCTCTTAGATGAGTCCAATGTTTGGAACGGCATCAAAACCAGCAAAGTTAATTAAGTTATTCACCTTGAATATCTTTCTTGACAGGAACAGAACCCAACAAGCCTCCGAGGCTGTCAGTTTTGCTCTTCACCAAAGAAAAATCAAAATGCTTCCTCCAGAAAAGACTTCACTTTCAATACCTTAACCCAGCTTGAGATGGAACTGGTGAAATTTGTGTCCAAGGTACGGAGTCTTAAAGACTACATGGCAACTAGAAGTCACTCCAGGCTGCACAGCCCAGAAATACCCATGGATCCACACAATAATGTTACAATATATGAGATCTGGGGAGAGGAAGACGCCGAGTAAAAGAGTTTATGTGTCAATTAGGGGAGAGAAAAGTCAAGGATTGACAGACATCGAAACTAATAAACAGTATTCTGAATAAAGAAGCCTGCATGTGAGGTCTTCCTTTCCCTGCCTTTTTTGGTTTTTAATTTGAGTTTAAAATGACCACCAGCAGCCAAGGATGATCTATGGCTGTTTTCCCACTTCCTCTGCAGGAATGCAGGCCATTCCTGACCTGCAACATGCTGGTCCTGGGCCCAACAAGGCTCTGAACTGTGGAGGAAGGAGCCCACACCATTCTCATAGACTCTTGGTTTCTTTAGAGTATCTGCAAGTCAGGAATGGATTCTGAATGATTCATTCCATTACAAAGTCTACATTTTAACCGTAGGTTTAAAATGATGCAGCGACTCTGTCAGGAGAGACAGTGGTAGGATCATCTGCTCCTCCAACCACCAGAGAATCTTTTTATTCATTTCCATCCATCCCACGAGTCCTAGGTATGGCATGCAAACTTCTTTTTAAAAATATTTTATTATTTTTATTTTACTTATATGAGTGTATTGCCTGCATGTATGTAAGTGCACCCATGTCATGCAATGCCCACAGAGATCAGAAGAGGGCATTGTAACTCCTGGAACCTGAGTTACAGATGGTTGTTAGCCACCATGTCAATGCTGGGAACCGAACCCAGGTCCTCTTCAAGAGCAGTCAGGGCTCTTAACTGCTGAGCCATGTCTCCAGCCCCTAACTTCTTTTCTTCTGCCAAACTAGCAATTGCATATATCTGTAGTGGTTAAGAAAGTAGAGAAACAGTCAGGTATGATAGCGTATGTCTGCAATCCCAGAACTAGGGTAGGTTAAGGGTAGAAGGATCTCAATTCAGAAAGTTCAAGGTCAACTACGAGAGAGAGAGAGAGAGAGAGAGAGAGAGAGAGACAGACAGAGACAGACAGAGAGAGGAGAGAGAGAGAGAAAGAAAGAGAAAATTTCCATGTCTTTTGGTTTAAGATACAGATGAACTAAACAAGCATCTCAAATTACAGTCTTTTTTTTTTTGTCTTTTTGAAGCAGGGTCTCCTTGTAGCCCCAGCTGTCCTGGAACTCACTATGTAAACCAGGCTGGCCTTGAACTCACAGAGATCCACCTGCCTCTGCCTCCCAAGTGCTGGGACTACAGGCATGTGCCACCATGCCCGGCAGTCTTAATTTTTTTTAACAAATTTTTACATTTTGTGTGTGTGTGTGTGTGTGTGTGTGTGTGTGTGTGTGTGTGTGTTCCTGCTTGTATGTGCACATTTACATTCATGCAGTACCCTTACAGGGCAGAAGATGGCATCAGATCCCCTGGAACTGGACTTCTAGGTGATTGTGAGCCTCTGGATGTGGGTGCTGGGAACTGAGTCCTGATCTTCTCTCTGCAAGAACAGCGAGTGCTCTTAACCACTGAGCCGTCTCCAACCCCAGTATGTTCTTTATATGATTGATGAAGAACATGGATTTTTTAGAATGTAAGGCCAACTGTATGCTTATCCTAGTCTGTTAAACCCACTCAGCTCATGTAGGTCAAGGCCTGGAAAATATTTTCCATTCTTGATTCCTTTTCACCAGAGAAATTTTTATGCAATACTGGGTATATATGTGTACTAAAAGATACATTAGACTGGAAAGATGGTCCAGTGCACTGATTAAGAGCACTGACTGCTCTTCCAGAGGACCCAGGTTTAATTCCCAGCACCCACATGGAGACTAATAACTGTCAATAAGGCCAGTTCCCAGGGATCTGATGCCCTCTTTTGGCCTCCATGGGCACTGCATGCATGTGGTATATGTTCAGGAACATACACACATATGCATGAAATGAACTAATAAACCTTTCACATTAAAGACGCTGTATTTTTCCCTGCATAAGTTATATATAATTTTACCATTTAGGAAAAATGAAAGTAAGCTTGCTACTAAAAAGATAAAGGTGTTTATTTTTACATAAAGGATTAAATTTTGAGACTGGAGAGATGCTTCAGTGGTTAAGACCACTTCCAGCTCTTCCAAGGGACCCAAGTTTGGTTCCCATACCCGTATCAGGCAGCTCATAACCACCAGGAACTCTAGTTCTTCCAGGAGATCTGACACTCTCTCTGGCCTCCACCAGGCACTGCACACATATGGCACATAAATGATAGATAGATAGATAGATAGATAGATAGATAGATAGATAGATAGATATAGATAGATAGATAGATAGATAGATAGATAGATAGATAGATATAGATAGATAGATAGATAGATAGATAGATAGATAGATAGATAGATAGCGGGGGGGGGTCTTTTATTCGAGATATAGTCTCCCTGTAGCCCCAGCTGGCCTGGAACTCACTATATAGACCAGGTTGGCCTTGAACTCACAGAAATCTGCCTCCCTCTGCCTCCCAAGTGCTAGGATCAAAGGCATGTACCACCATGTCCAGCCTTAAATAATTTTTTAAAAGAATTAAATCTTAGCTGAATATTTGACACCACAAGACATGTGGCATCTTCAGTGGTTTTCAAAAGTTGATCAAGCCGGGTGTGGTGGTGCACGCCTTTGATCCTAGCACTTGGGAGGCAGAGGCAGGTGGATCTTTGTGAGACTGAGGCCAACCTGGTCATTATAGTGAGTTCCAGGCCAGCTAGGGCTACAGAGAGATCCTGTCTCAGTAAGACCGATAATAAATAAATAGATAGGTGATAGATAGATAGATAGATAGATAGATAGATAGATAGATAGATAGATAGATAGATAGATAAAATAAAAAACAAATAAATAAAGCATTCTAATAATACAGTCCAAACAAAAACTTACATGTTAAGGAACAACAGCAGGAAAGTGTTAAAAAGAAGTCTGAGTTTTCTGTGATTAAACCATTGTGTTTCTATACAAGCAAAAAAGTTGTGCAGTCAAAACTACGTTTCAAGGTAGATGTGGTGGTACAAGCTTGTAAAGCCAGAACTTGATAGGTAGAAGCAGGAGGATCAGAAGTTCAAGGTCATCCTCAGCTACAAAGCAAATTTGAGACAAGCCTGGGCTTACGTGAGCCTCTGGGGGTGGGGGAGAAGGAGAAGGGGGAGGAGGGGAAGGGAGGGGAGGGGAAGGGAGGGAAGAGGAAAGGGAAAAAGATAAAGGTGTTTGTTTTTACAGAAAGAATTAAATCTTAAGGCTGGAGTGATGGCTCAACAGTTAACAGCACTTCCTGCTCTTTCAGAGGACCGGAGTTTAATTCTCAGCACCCTTATCAGGCGGCTCAAGCCACCTGTAACTCCAGTTCCTACAGAGGCTCCAACTCTCTCTTCTGGCCTTCACCAGGCACTGCACACACACACACACACACACACACACACACGAAAGAGCAGGGAAGGGAAGGAACGACAGGACTGCTAACACGGAACAGTCTAGAATCTGAGGTGTTTCCGGCAGCATTCCTTGGCGCTGTACAGCCTCACGGCACTCCTGGTACACAGGTGCACATTGTGTGTTCAGACCAAGGCTGCAGTGAAGTCACACGACACAACACAGGTGCGTGCTTGTAGAACCACCTTAGGTCGTCGTGCATTTGATTTTGAATTAAGGTTGGTTACTCAGCATAAAGAAACCTTTTACTGTTGCTGGATTCTTTTTGCAATCCCCGTATTGCATAATCCCATATGGGGGTAGTGGCCCACAGTTTAAATCTAGGTCAACCTAAGACACAGGGCTAGAGAGAGGAAGCCGAGGGCCTCTGACAGACCTGTCCTTACTTCTAATTCAGCCTGCGCTGGTGTGCGGTGGCAGAACCCTGAGTCTCCACCACGTTCTGTCACTCGAAGTTCACTCCTGATGTTTGAGCCATCAGGATGATCCTTTCAAGTTCCTGTCACGCTCACACTGGCTTTGGGAAGGGTCAGAAACACTTTGCTCTCACAAAAGGGAAAATGCAAGGGGTCAAGACGGCAATGTGGGCGCTACTTTCACAGTGGATACTGAGGAATCCAGATGGTCAAATGATGATAGTGGTTAGGGGGCTGGGAGATGGTTCGGTGGTTAGAGCACTGACTGTAGAGGACCTGGTTCAGTTTCCCAGCACCCACAGGAAGCTAAGAACCAGAATTCCAGTTCCACAGGCTCTGACGCTGCCTTCTGTCCTCTATAGACATTGTACACCGCCAGCATAAAATTTTAAATTTTAATAAAATTTGGGGGGTTGATGGGTGGTCTCAATAGGGGGCAAAATTTGAGAACGTCTCCAGATTGTTGAGGAGTCACAGTTGCCGAGGTCCATTTTATTGCCTCTATCTGGGTGTAGTCTGGGTTTGTATGGCTTGGAAGCTACTTATTGTTTTAATGTTT